AACCTGGAAGCAATGGACGGTCGTTTCTTCCTATTGTGGGACTCCTCAACATCGCGATATTCGAACCCAGGACCTATCGGTCTTTCTCGCGCGAGCGCTTAACTACTAGATCATTAAACAGGCATCCAACGGTGTTAATTTTCTAAAATCAACTAATCCACGAAATTGAACGACACATCCACCATTGTCATCAGTGAGTTACTATCTCATAACTGATCCGGTTGAACTCCGCTGGTCACTGATTCTTGCTAGAACTCCAGGAAACACATCTTGAAGCCAGTCACTAGTGAGCATATGTCAAAATATATAAAATAACATCCTAAATGATATTTCTAATATATTTGGAACACATTCACGGTGTATTATCTAGTTATTCCATTAGACTTGATTAATAAGTTTTCCTCATATGCTTTTGTTATAACTTGTGGCCTGTATACCCTATTAATGTATAACAATACGATACCACCAATTAGAGGGCAGTGAATTATCGATCGGACTAGTGACGCGTAAACCCTCACGAGCAATGTAGAGTACGTATCAGCCCTGATTCCTGCCTAGCCCAGCCAGTTAAGTCCAGAACACCAATCTCAGCCTCTGTGACATGAACCATTTATTTCAAACATACTGGGTTTATATACCAATCAAACAGATCATATCGTACCATAAAATAGAAAACAACATTTGTACAAGATTTGCCCAAATGTGGCTCTGAATGTGGGAGGTAGTGATTAATAGAAAGGGAATAATTCAAGAATGAAAAATTGTATAATAACAGTTCATAAGTTAAAATAAAGCTTATGATAAGAGAAACATGAATGTGAATAGTTTAGTTATTTAACAACTATACGATAAAAATATAAGCATAGTATTGGTCTACAAATGGATCTCAAGGTTACCATTCATTATGCTTATCGGGAATTAACAACGTTTAGATAACATTATTCCAAATACTTCTTCAATTGAAAAATTTCATTCAGTTTATTTATTAGACTAATATTTTAGTCTTCTATTGATATTATGAACCGATTGATGTCAGACCACCGTTGGAAACCTCGAAGCATTGGACGGCCGTTTCGTCTTATTGTAGGACTTCTCAGAAGTGCGCATCCACGAGCCCGCTCGCGAGATTCGAACCCAGGGTCTTCAGTCTCGCGCGTGAACACTTAACCTACTAGGCCACTGAGCCAGCATCCAATGATGTTAGTGTCTAACATCAACCAATACACGAAATTGCGTGACCATCTTCCATTGTACTGAGGTAGATACCTGTCTCTACCCGACACGGATTAACTCCACTGGTCACAGCTTCTCACCAGAACTCTGAGAATTTTCTCACAAAGCTAGTCACTAGTGAGCACATGTTAATTACTAGTATATGGGGTTGTGGAGATTATTAAGTTTTTGATTGAGATCATGAACCTAATCCCGCGAGCAGGATCGTGGATGCGCACTGTTGAGGAGTCCCACAATAGGACGAAACAGCCGTCCAATGCTTCCAGGTTTCCAAAGGTGGTCTAACATCAATCGATTCATGATCTCAATCAAAAACTTAATAATCTCTACAACTCCCATACTAGTAATATTTTAGTATTCAATAAATTGCTTTAATCTAAAACAATTATCAATCGAACACTACTTCCTATTTCAATAGGAATTCGAACCAGTAGAATCTCAACAAAAATGGATCTGTTGTAAGATCATAGAAAAAACTTAGGTGAAAATTTTATTTGTTCTTTTTGTGTTGCTACTTTTTGTTCTAAATTTCTAATTGATTTCAAAAAACAGTAATTAACATCCTAATTTAATTTTATGAGTGATCACTTCCGATATAATAATAGATTTTTTTCTCTCAAGGAACAACATTCTTTTTTGTTATTTTAATCTCATATAAGTAAATGTTATTTAGTCATGCAAACAATAATTTCATATCATGTGTAAAATCTAACCTTTTTGAACTTAATCTAATTACCATATTATGCATCATATATGAAATTATTGTTACATTTATTCTTAATTTTAAATAACCATTATTTTTTTATTTATTACTAACTACCTACTTACGTTTGTTATTCCTCGTGAAGAAGCATAGGCTGCTCACCAGCATTCTCCAGCACACTCTGTCCTGGGCCTTCTTTGCTAGTTCTATCCAATTTTTGTTCATTTTTCACGTGTCTGTCTCCATTTTTTGAAGTAATGTGTTTTTTGGTCTTTCTCTTTTCCTTTGACCTTGAGGATTTTATGTGAGAGCTTGTCTTGTAATGCAGTTGGATGCTTTCCTCAATGTATGTCCTATCCAACTGTAGTGCTTCTTCCTGATTTCTTCCTCCACTAGGATCTTAATATTTATTATTAGTGACTTTATTCAATATTATATTTTTGGTACAAGACAAAATTCTCAATACAAAGTATTTCAACAAATTTTCTTTTCTCATTACTTGATCGATCCTGACAATAAATATTAAGTGATCACCAGTTAAATGTAAGCGATTTCAAGAATCAACATTTGAATATTGTTCATTCTTTTCAATGTATATTTCTAGTCATCATGAAATCATTGATTGTACTGTTTTGTAAATTGTACAGTGAAAGATCGTAAACTTTTCATAAACGCTCCGGAATAGGTTATGCAATTAAAAAAAAACATACTGATGTGTTAAAACAAACAAAAGAAACAGATAACTTGTTGAAATATCTAAGTGGCATGAACAGATAGCCCATATATTCAATCAGGCCGCCTTGTTATATTATTTACGAAATTGAATTTTAGGTAAACAATCATTAAAAATAATAATTTTATTAATATTTGTTTTTGAAGTTAAAATATATTTGATTCTTGTATAGAAGATTTCTTTTAATCATAAATTATGGCTTCATTTAAAACCATAGTTATCCTGTTTTAAATTTCCTATATAAATTTAAATGTTATTAGTGATTACATTTTGTAAGATTTTGTTATCCCCATTTTGATAAATAAGAAGTTGTGGTGGCTTTGCTTTGTTAAATGATCACCCTCGTGACCGTTATTATACAAATCTCAACGGTGTTTGAAATTAGAAGGCAAAGAGAAACAGCAACTATAGTTTATTAGCGGATAGTGCAAATCACATAGCTATAGGCGCATTTGGCGAATTCCAAGCAGAGATGCGAATTTATATATACGAGCAAATATATAAGCAAATTTATAATCTAATCGAATCAAGACGTAGCAAGGTCAAGCAAAAGCTAATAGTAGTAGGATTTGAGCACATATATACACGGGGGGAGGATGAATCATCGAGTGATATTTAAATAGTCAACATGTTAGCTAAAGTCTGTCACGTGCTCTAGTGATCATAACGGTTTCTGAATAGATTAGAATTTAAAATAATTGACAAGGTGAACTTTTATCATATACAGAAGAGAAATATTTCGTGGTCGTGTTCTAGAAGCAATAGACGGTCGTTTCATCCTATTGCGGGGCTCCTCAGCAGTGCTCATCCACAATCCCGTCTCGCGAGATTCGAACCCAGGACCTATCAGTCTCGTTCATGCGCTTAACAACTAGACTACTCAGCCGGCATCTAACGGTGTAAAAGGACTTAACCATTGATTGCCCGAAACATTTATCTGATCAATTTATATTATTGGAAGTTATTATGTTTTAAACTTTGAAAAATATCCACTTATAATTTTTACATTGTACTTTAGACACATAATGAATGTTATTATAGAAAAATCTAAATCTCAAAACATTTTAGTTTAGTATACTAAGTTCTGAATTGAAGAAAAAACGTTTTTCCTTCATTGACTACTTTTTTACTTTTCACTTACGCCTGTTACTCCTCATGAAGGAGCATAGGCCGCTCACCAGCATTCTCCATCCAACCCTGTCCCAAGCAATCCTTTCCAGCTCCTTCAACTTCCTATTCATCCTTTTCATATCTGCTTCTATTTTCCGACGTAATGTGCTCTTTGGCCTTCCTCTTTTCCGCTTCCCTTCAACATTCCACGTTAGGGCTTGCCTAGTGGTGCAGTTTGATGATTTGCGTAATGTATGTCCTATCCATTCCCATCGTCTTTTCCTAATCTCCTCTTCAGCTGGAAGCTGGTTTGTTCTCTCCCACAGAAAGCTGTTGATGATGGTATCTGGCCAATGGATGTTGAGTATCTTGCGTAGACAACCATTTACAAATACTTGTACCTTCTTGATAGTGGTTGTTGTAGTTCTCCAAGTTTGAGTTCCGTACAGTAGAACTGACTGTCTTGACGTTGGTATTAAAGATTTTCACTTTGATATTGGTTGAAAGTTGTTTTGAGTTCCATATGTTCTTCAATTGTAGGAATGCAGCCCTTGCTTCATTGACTAACAGTTACAGATACTAGTTATGTTTCTATATACTTCTAATGAATGATTGATAATAATTCCATGATATTCACGACATAAAAACCATAGCTGTATCATTCATCAGATACATTTGAAATGGTAATTAAGTCATACAATGACATAGTTCTTTATTTTAAACTACTTCTAAGCATGTTATTTATCATTTTTGTTTCACACACACACACACACACACGCAAAATCTAATTGATTTCTTACAAAATGACTTTTTCCTAAAAATTTTAACATTTTAAAAGATTTGGAATAATTCGTTTTTACTCTTTTTTTTGTGTGGCGATCTAACAAGGTAAATTTGATTCAAAAAAAATATGTGATGAATTCCCTGTGTTGATATTTCAATGAGTCTGATTATATTTTTATTACATGTCAAGACAATAAGGAAGAAGTAAGGTCAACAACCATGTTATGGTAGAGAGATATGAGGCAAGAAAGTGAAGTATAATAGAAGTAATATAACAGATTTCAATATTGACCTTTACAATAAATTATGTTGGTAAACATGTTACATAAGTTAAATTTTAAATAAAAGCATTGGATATGATTAATTTAAAATGGTACACAAACTTGTTCTAAGAATGAATATTGTTTTTGTTATTTGAATTTTTTTTTTATTATTTAGCTGGAAGTTTAAGTGGAAGAATAGTCGACCGAAAAAGTCTAACAATATCACCTCAACCACCTAGAGCATTTATAATGGAGCATTTTTCCAGATCAGAGGAGAATATTGTTTGTGAAACAGATAAACCACGAATAAAAGTCTCAAGTTATAATGCCACTGAACCTTCAAGTGCTAATTCAGCTTCTAGTGTTCTAGTAACAGGACCATTGAATGAAATTTCACAGATTCCAGAGAAAAATGAATTAAAAAGTCATGATCATGGTCATCATCATCATCACCATCATCATAATCATCATCATCATCACCACCACCATCATCATCATCATCGTCACAACAATCATGGTCATCATCGTAACCGAGGTCTAACGCATACAATGACACGTGTAGTAGAAAGTAGACGATATTTAATGTTCACAAAATCACTACCATTTTGGGTGAGTTAGTTTATTCATTTGACAGTTCTGTGGTTATAATTTAAAGAAACTAATCAATGTGATGATTTACTTATAATTCAAAATTTTTAAGACATATCATTCATGAATTTAATATATTGCCTTTTTATTCTCAATCCTTTGCAATTAATTTCTGCACAAAGAAACGAATAAACAGACTCAGTTTTATCAATAGTAACTATAATCTACATTTTCCTACAGTAGTTATCAAAATCATGACATTCAACCCCTAGTTTTAATGTAGCTGTGGTGTATACTACTTATGCTGATAGACATTAGTGTGTAGTTGCAATCTGATGTGGAATGTCTGGCGGCAGAAGATTTATTTGAAGAGGATAGAAAGGAAATCAAATAGCAATTGAAATATAAACAGAATTAGGGGAGTTATGGAACAGATGAAGGACAGCTCAGAGATGATGTGTAAATGATGTTTTCAATCATGATTTTCATATTTTATTATGACGTTGTGTAATTTTCCTTTAAACAATAATTCGTTTTTTCAACCTGAATTATCGTCCACTTCATAGTTACAAGACCTAATCGACATAAACATTATTTTTCAGTCAAGGCAATTAAACTGAGCTAAGAGCTTAAAATTTCTTAGCTAAAATCAAACTAAGAGTAGGCTACTAGTATAGGGGTTGTGGAGACTACTAAGTTTTTGATTGAGATCATGAATCGATTGATGTTAGACCATCATTGAAAACCTGGAAGCACTGGACAACCGTTTAGTTCTATTTTGCGACTTCTCAGTAGTGCGCATTTGCCCACTAGTGACTAGCTTCGTGCGAAAATTCTCAGAGTTCTTGTGAGAAGCTGTGACCAGTGGAGTTAATCCGTGTCGGGTAGAGACAGGTGTCTACCTCAGTACAATGGAAGATGGTCACGCAATTTCGTGTATTGGTTGATGTTAAACATTAACATCATTGGATGCTGGCTCAGTGGTCCAGTAGGTTAAGTGTTCACGCGCGAGACTGAAGACCCTGAGTTCGAATCCTGTGAGCGGGCTCGCGGATGCGCACTTCTGAGAAGTCCTACAATAAGACGAAACGGCCGTCCAATGCTTCGAGGTTTCCAACGGTGGTCTGACATCAATTGGTTCATGATCTCAACTAAAAGTAGACTGATTTCTAGTTTCAACGTATGCGTCATAAGATGCTTTTGAGAGTAGCAAGTTTTAAAATCACCTAATGAGTAATATCGAGGTTCGCCAGGATGCAAAAGCTTTATATATCATGTCGATTAATGAATTCATCAGTTCTCATGAGATCTAGTGATCTGTACGTATGTTATTCAAGCTCAGCTATTACCAGCTCTAACGTAGGTTATCCATTCCTAAACACATAAACATACAGGTCTTCATTTGTTCAGAAATGCAGCTACTCACCTGGCTAATTAATCGGTCCATCAGAAATGTGATAGTGTCATTAACATTTCCATTGCATTGAATACTGAAATAATATAAAGTATTATACATATTAGTGGACAACTCAATCAAATTATCATTGTGTCAATCAATATTAAATTTTCATGACTTGGTTACAAACTGTATTTTTACAGTTATGTACATATCTTTCTAACGTTGTCAATTATAATACCATTAATTTTAATCCAGAGAATCCCTATAATTATGTATGTTTTTACAGTTTATTTTATTATAATAACTGATATATGTATGATTGATTAACACAACTTTTCATATTACTCTTGACAAAAATACAATAGAATAACTAGAACAGATAAGTCTTTTTTCTTAAAAGGTATAGTGTTTTATTGTTCTTTTCTTCTAACCATCATGGTAGCTGAATGACTGAAATACGTTTGAAACTTAAGTTGTTTTCTAAACGTTAACATAACATCTAAATTATGTTTGAGGAGACCACCGGCTTAAACTTTTTTGCAAAATACTTTTCTCTTGGTATCAGTTATCAGTTTCGTTCAAGAAATATTTACGTAAATAAACGATAGCCAGCGAAACAGGTAGTGTCACAACAATAAAACGAAGACTCCAGAAATATTGTTATTACAGAATGGCTGTAAGTGATTCTATATTTATCTTACTGGTTAATCTAAAAAACGGTTCACCACATCGATTGATTAACAGTAAGACTGAATATAATATTACATTTTCGACTGTGATCATTCCAGGTTATCCTTACCGTTAAGTTTTAAATATCAAGTTTACTACTACATCAGTCTTTTTAGCCAATTGAACAGCAGACTAATAATGTCACATTGTCCATAACCAACAAATCTCACATGGTTACCAGTAAGACTTTACTTAGTTTCCAACCCCAAATCTAATATCCAAATGACCTTATAATCATTATACATCTGAAATGCAAATACGCTGTGATTACCATAGTATTTTAGCCAGGTTCTCTTTAAGAACTCAGAAGCAATCCCATATTTATTAAAACGATATCGTCCCAAATTAGTTATTAAGAGCAAAGAATTCTAAAAGATAATAGAGCTCAGAATAGTTTTAAAATATATTTTATGATAATCAATAAAATGTGCCTAGATGAAAATGTTGAATTCTCTGATGAAATGTACACAAAGCTACTATAAAAACACCACATTTAATTGCATTAATAGGGAACATATTGGAAAATAAATCAAGATAACATCTGATCAGTATTTCTGTTCATTCTGTTGTAAATTTAATTTTTTAAGAGCCGTCTCAATTTGATGGGGTTGACCTGATAGCAACAAAGTAGACATGATTAATTGTAAATTCAAGGGATTTATGATGCATAGTAAAGTATTAATATTATAAGCCATCGCAACTGAGATTAAATCTTAATACGACCACTAGTGATATACGTATGGATATTAATATTTATAGTTTTACTAATTTTATCAATGGTAAATATTCCCTTAGAAAGATATAATTTATGGGACGAAGAACAGTAATTTGTTTTGTTCAAACTCTAAGCCGGATAATACATCATGAATTTACTCAATTGTCTTATTATTGGCCTTCTGGTAAGGATATTTTTAAGTACTTTCACTATTATAGTATTACATTTTTGGCTTTAACTTTAGTTAGCTGTATTTATGGTGCTAAATAACCTAGAGTTATTACTAAATTCAAGTACTGGTTGTGGGAGAGTGAGAGAGGGTTCGCATTACTAAGGGTGATTGTCAAATTAGTAACCGTGAAAAAGGCGCATATTAATAATGATGAGGATTGAAAGGAGGAATAACACTAATAATGGTGTGAGATATATTCGATTTACCCCCTGTGGTGAAGGACTGAATTATCTACGTGGAATGGCATATAGTTTGGATACACTCACCTGAATATTTTAAACTATGTTACGAAAATTTTATAATGCATTTAACATTTTTATCTATATTAAATTGATGCCATCGCTTATTGATGCTTTCCTTTGATGTATTACATCCAGTCACGTAATATATTCTCTGGATTATCTTATTGTAGTAGTCCTTTTAGGTTATCAATGTGTTAACGTCAGAATTTTAAATATTTGTGTTGCTTACCCTTATTACCCCTTTTAGTCTGTCAAAAATATATAGATTTATACACAACTTCAAGAATCGAATTAAGGTTGTGTAATGATCGGAAATACAAGAAAAATAATAAGCAAACGTGTAAACGATTACTGACTGCTTAAGGAGTAGAATAAATTTAAAACATAAAAGTGGTAACAACAAATGACTAAAAAATAAAAGCCTTAAAATAAGGTATCCATAACCGAGTGACTGTGTGTGGAAAATATTATTAGAGCATGACTCAGATATGAAAACAGCTTGATGTGATGCTTTTACACACATAGCTCAGGTTTGAAATAATGAATTGCAACCGCCTTTAGAGTGAAATGGTCTAAAAGATACTGTTGTGATGTTACTGGATTTATAATTAAGTTAGCTAATTTGGAATAGACGTACGAGATAACATGACTATGGTTGTAGAATAATAATCTGTTATCAAATTCGACAAAGCATATTATTTTTCATTAGACGTTCAGGAAACTACTTTTTTATTGTTCATAAGGAAGACGGACAGTGGGCGAATCTAACAGGTTTCACACCATTATAAATGTTATTCCCCTTTCATTCCTGACCTTGATTAATATGCGCTTCTTTCGTGGTCGCCCTTTTGATAGTTGGCTTTTTACTCTCTCTCATTTGAATGTATATCACTAGTTATATAAACACTGCACAGTTTTGTTAAATATTGCATCACCTCAGTGTAGAATAGCTGACATAGAATATAAGGTTTCAAAATTAAGATGTTTGACAAAAATTTCCATCTATTTGATTTTTCATTCTTCGTGCCGAATAGTTTTATTGCAAACATTTCATTATAATATTGAACAACATCATCAGGCTCTTTTTCAAATAAAAGTCTACTGAACAATAAAAGTAATCATGTCAGCTATAAAGTTTTCGTTCAGTACAAAAAAAATTGAATTAAACGTGACCGAGAAGTATGAACTGAACAACTGCTTTTACATATTGTAAATAAATCCATGATTTGATTCCAGTAATTGGTTGTTATCAATCAAAATGTTTTATATAAATAATATACTTTTCTTGAACAAACTATGCTTAGTTTGCAATGTAACAGGTGTTTCTGTAACTGTTGATTCCACATACACAGAACATTGTCGTCTTATTCTATAGGTACTTACCAAAGAAACCTAACAAATTCACATCCTTATTCACTCTCCAACTATACAATCAGGTTGAACCTGGTGTTTTCAGTAGATTGTTTCGTCTTCTACACTGATAATATATATATATATATATATATATCAACTCAGTTACCAGGTATTTAGGTGTGAGCCACATTCTAAGTGTAAGGGCTACTGATGCACATATATGGATGTGTGTATATTTATGTGTCATCAACTCCTAACTTTATGTTTAGAACCCAATGACTTGTGCTTTTCATTTTTTTATAAGTAGATTATTTGGTTAATATAAATGTATATTTTGAGTGTGTTTAATTT